TTTTTTTTAATTCATTAATTTTTTAACATAAAATAAAATAAGCGTTTAAAAAAGGAAAAGGTAAATAAATAAACAAACAAAATAATATAAGAAAATAGTTGCATTTACTTGCGTCAGGCTAGCCAAAAAGTACCGAAATGTGTTAAGAAAAAACACTATTTTGATATCCAAAATCAACTCTTTAATATTTTAATAATTCTTTTATCGAATTTTGCTGTTAATTATAAATTCTAACTAAATTATAATTTGTTCTAAAAGCTATAAGAACTCTAACAGTATTGTAAGGGAAGCAAAACTTTAATTTATACTTTTTAAAGTTTTTTAAAGTATTTCTGTACAAATGATACAAAAAACCACACACCTAGTCTACAAGTATATTCCCTGTAAAAAGAAAGAAATCTTTGAACTGAGATCTTTAGGGGTTTTCATTTTTCACCAAAAAGAGAAAATTACAGTGAAGCGGACATCGTTAAGGAAGTTGAGAAGCAACAATGATGACAAAATAATGTCAACGGAAGTCTTCTTGAGCGAAATTCGAGAATCTCTTCATCAACAGATTCTCTGGGTAAAATTTCCTAAAAATGAGCAACATATGGTGAGATACTTAGATCCTGAAATTACTACTGACATCGGAGACCCCCGAATTTCTTTTTTATGAAAGAAACCTAACGGGTAATAAATGTAAATTTCAAAATATATAAGAACATAAAATAAATTATCTTTAAAAAAAAAATTGGAGGTTTTTTTGTGTTTAGCCTTTGAATAAAAAGATTTTGAATTTGAAAAAAGCAAGTTGGAAGATTTTTATGAAAATAGATGTTTTTTTTTAAAAATTTATCTTAGATAAAACTTCTTTAAGAAATTGGGTTTTTAAAATTTTTCCGTTTAAGCATAATTTTAGTGTATATGCTATAAACACATTTTTTAAAATATTATATGCCACAAATAAAATATAAAATAATTATATGAATAATTTCATGCGGTATTTCAATATGCTTTGCATGTTTTATAAAATAAAATGCTGGAGTTAAGAAATAAAAGATTAATAAGGATTAATAAGCTCTAAATAAAGGATTAATAAGCTCTTATAATAAAAATAAAGGATTAATATAAATAAGCTCTTATAATAAAAATAAAGGAATATATAAAAATAAAGGATTAATAAGCTCTTAAGTTGGATTTAAGTGACATTATTGAAATATTTATTTTTAAAAACTATATGTATTTATATTATACTAAATGTGAATTAAAACACGCCACAATTTTAAAAAAACTATTAGTTCATATTCGATACTTACTTTAAATTAATAATTCGTAATTGATAAAAATCCATGGCTATGTCCCCGATAATGGCCTGAAACCTTCCAAATTTACTAAAATGTTTGGGAAGTAAAAGCAGCCGGTGCGCAGTGATGATCACATTGGTCGCCAATATGCTGTTGGTATGACTCCATTGCCCAAAACTAGACAGTCATGGGGGTGCATTTTTTAATTTAAACTTTAGAATATGATAGCAGCATCACGGAATATTTAATTTATTTCAAACAAGAGGAATCAGATTTAGAAGATAGGTCACTCTTTGTTAAATTTCATAACTTTTAAAGAAGTTTAAAAAACCTTACACAATAGTGCTGAATTTCTTTCAAAAGTGTAGACTTACTAATAAAAGCTATAATTTATGTTCTTTAAAAATCCCAAATTCTCTAAGAATTGAGAAATTTATCAATTATTTTGATTTTATTAAGAAAATTATATAGTGTTTCTGAATGCATGAATACAATTAAACTATGTATTGCTTTTGGATGATAATTATTATTTTTAAAAAAATGAAAACGTTATTTTTTGTTTGTTAAATATGATGATAAAAAAATATATATCTTCTGTGTTAGCATTTTAAATCGAGAATTAAAATACTGAAACCGAACTTAAAATTAGCAAACCTATATCTTTACAACAAAGACTATTGACTGAAAGATACACGTGCAGCATAAATGCAAGAATGCTAAGTCCTAATTTTACGAACTCGAGTATTCACAAAATATATGTCAATTGAAATCGTTATATAGTTAAAACGGAAGTAAATTGCATTTTATTAATTATAAAAACACCACTTTAACCCTTTGTCTCAGAATTTTCATGAAACATTTTTTATACTTTTTTTCATTATTTTGCATTGATTTAGGTCAAAATAAGTAAAAGATAGTTAATTATCATTTTGAAAATTCATGGTTATGAAATACAGTATGAAACACTGTTGTCTTTTTCTGTGTTAAAGATAAAATCTTCCAAATACTGCAACCTCCCAAATAATAATTTTTCAAATTTGTACTTATTTGCAGTTATTTAGATTTAAGAGAAACAGTTATACATCATTGCAATTCCCTTAATTTATAAAATAAATTATTGATCATTTTTTGAATAAACATTTAAAAAAATATTGCTTCGGATTTTATATTTCAACAGAAATATGATTTCGATAAACTAACTAATTTTAGTAACTATTAGACTTTTTTTTATAAAAAAATATACAAAACTATATATTTGCTGGTAATTAAAGCATTAGAAAAAATATATAAAAGGGACACCGTTGTTTCCTCTATTTCAAAGGGTTAAGAACTAGTTAATAAAAATTTGTTTGGAAGTTTACTGCAATCTAAGAAAAGTGTTAAATGGAGCGGTATTGCTCGTGCAATTCAACTTAGCACTACAGTTAAGTATAAAAAAAGAAATATGAATCAGGACACTCCAACATTTTTAGTTGTGTAACTAAATATCAGTGCACGGTGCTCAAAAAAGTAAATGGACCACTCTGAATTATTTTTGATCTAACGATCGGATGTTCAGGTCTTAAGACTCAATCTTAATGGTTTGAGGGGGTGACTTCATAGATGCTAATTAATTACGATATTTGAAGTTACGAAATCATGCACAAAAACGTTTTTACTTTGAATAAACGTTTTTTCGACGGATTTGGCTTTCTGACATCCCCTCGAACTAAAATATGGGGGAGGAGGTAAACGCAATCTTTGAAATAGGATCCCAATAGTTTTGTCTGGATAGCGGTCCAAAGTTTTAACGCTTAATGTTAATTTTTTGACTATTTCACCCTATTGTGAGTACTTTTTAAGCTACGGAATTTTTTTTGCATACAATTATAAAATTCTTTTATCTTAAGATAGTTCCATGCAAAAATTAACTTTCAGTAAATATTATTATTTTTTATTATTTTATTTAATAATATTCAAAAAACATTTTTACATAATATATAATTTTAATTATGTAAAAATGTTATTAAAACCATGTAGCTAATTTTTACATAATTTTTTAAAATATAAATTTGTAAGACAAAACGTAAAATTTGAACACAAAATCATCTGTATAGTTCCTGAGAAATCAAACTTTAAACATACTCCTTTAAAAAAAAAAACTCGATTTCACAGACCGACAAATTTTGCACCTCATAATCCGACCATGAGAACAAAAACTATTCAGGGTGATCCGTTTAATTTTTGCACGCTTTACCTCAGAAAAAACCTTCATTAAAGTTCTGATTCTGAAAGGATACTAAGTTTTAAAAACCAATTTACATTTTAAAGCTAACATAAACGAAGTTGTCATTTTAAAAAAAATATCATTTTAGAATAGGAAATAGCAAAGAAGAATTCGTTTCCTCTACGAAACCAGTAACAATTCTCGTGTGATATAAATCATTCAAAAACACACCGGTGAGCAATTTTCTTTCCTCTTGAGGTTCTCTTTTAGATATCAACCATGGAATTTAAACTTCAGAGAATTTTCCGACATTCTTCTTAAGTCTTTGAAAAGCCGAGAAAAGCTGAGATTCCTGTATTTGAGAGATTCCTCTTTTCTGCCAGAACTTGCAAATTCTTTGATTCTAAGCCCCCAGATCCTACACGCATCACGAACACTCATACCTTTTCCCTCTTCTAAGGAGTCACCCTCAGGAATTATGGTGCAACAACGTGTTTAGAACACATAGTCGCTAGCAAATTCTTTGTAATGTAAGTCATCTTGTAAACTGAGTGTTAAAGAGGCTGAAAAATGAGGCTTAGAATTAAATCGTAACCACAGCGTAATAAGGATTTATAAAAGTGAACTTTTGCAGGTGAATGCGGGTAAAGCTAATATGTTTAAAAGTTACCATTGTTTTAGTGATTTATATTTAGTGTGTTTAACTACAATAGAGATTATGAGAAAAGATACTGTTATCAAATACGTAGTGTTTCTTTTTAAATGTGGTTTAGAATTAAGTTTTCAGCAGCTTAATAGGGATTTTTTAAAGTGAACTTTTGTAGTATTTTAGCGATTCCTATTAGTGTGTCTAGCTATAACTGAGATTATGAGAGAAGATACTATTACCGAATACGTAATATTTTAGTACCTGATCAATATTAAAATCTATTATTAAAATATGATTTATGAAAAACAAATTGTATGGCAAAACTTTGAATAAATAACTTTAAAAAAAAAAACAGCTGAGTTTGTAAACTATTCCTGCACCGAAAATAGGTATGATATTTTCTGTTTTCAGTGAGTGGATTTCAGTATTTTTGCTGTAACTTATGAAGTTTTGTTTTGTGTCATTTTATACTTAATATCAAATAGCTCAAAACAAAACAGGTCAAAACAAATATTCTTTTTAGAAAAAAAAGAACGATAAAAAAAATGAAAATTTTATTTGGAAAAGTCCTTGAGACTCCTTGAGATAAACATGAATTAATTACGATTCGATAGAGACACACAAAACATGTGTAATTAATCTAATAAATATAAGCAAGTATCAGAGAACTTTCTTTAAAACCATTTAATAATGTTTGCCAGGTGTGATGGCTCTTCTGGATTTAGACGGAATATGTATGTCTTTACATGTTTTATAAAATAAAATGCNATATATATATACACACATATTCTTATTGGTATTAATTATTTTATAAATCCTTTTAACTAAATATAATTCGTATTTTTTATTGTTTTTTTAGATCCTCCTGGAACGCCAATACTAAGAATCACCTTGATTGCAGCAACATCAGCAAAATTGGAATGGTCTGCTCCAGATTCTACACCAATTCAAGGTAAGCTGTTATTAATTTTAATTAATGAATATTCTTTTACATCCTTTAAGGTAAATAATTTAATGAAAACAATTTAATGAAATTAACTAAAAAAATATAGTACCTCCAAATTATGTCATTTTTAACCTCAATTAAGGGTTTAAGAGATTAGAGGTCGCCTTGGAATAATTGATAGTCCAGACCAGCTTTTTTCTAATTTGAGCAAAGTATTCTTCTCCTAAATTGTAAATGAAAAGAATTTTTTAGCCGGTATCAAAGATTAACAAATAATCCAATTGCATAGAAAGCAATTGGTAAAAATTGGTAGCAAAATTTTAATAAAGGGGGAAATCATGTGGAATATGACTATTAACTAAATTTTTAAGCTCTTTAAACGCCCTAATTTTCAAGTAAAACTAAACTAAACTTAGTGTCGCGACAGCCCATAGAGAGCCAAGGCCTACTGTGCCCATCTCAGTTTTCCTGACCTTGGGCTCCGGGGTTTAGGAGCAGATGTTCCGGTTAGGTGGTCAGTCAAACGCGAAACCCCCAGCGTTTAGTTCCCACGCATGCTTGGTACTCATTTATCGACCCATTGAAGGGATGAAACTAGTTTTCAAGTATGCGAATAAAAAATTTTACAAGCCTTGATATATTTTTTTTGGAAGTTCAGGTTTGTGATGTGATGCAATTATGAACCATTCAAATTCTTGATCCATAATTCGAGTGAATGCGAACCATATTAAAGCAATTAAGTTTCAATACTCACATACACAAAATGAAATATCCCAAAAATTCGTAGATATAATTTATGCAGCCAACTTTTGACTTCGCATAATCGTAATGAAATCCAGCAAAATTAGTAGAGTTGTCCATTAACTTTGAGAAAAAAGCTCAGTGCCTGTAATTGTAACGAGCTACTGCAAAAATCCATTTGTCATTCTCCAGACTACGTATACAAAGGTTCCTGCTTAGAACCCAGCAGGTGCTAACAAAAATCTCTCTCACATTCAGTATACAACAGTAACTCCTGCAATGACTAAGCATCTTTCTCACGCCTTGACAGATGGTAGCACTATCCTATTTTGCCAAGTTCAGCTATCTCCCTTGATTCGAAAAGCATATTGCCTTATACAATTTCAAGGCCCGAGCCATAAAGGTTTATGAGTATACGTTCATTTATAGTCAGTGGCCATATATTTAACACGAAAAAAATTGCGGGAGGATTATTTTTATGGTCATATTAGCCTAATGAATATAAATTTAATTTTACTGTCAGTGACTGGAAAACTTTTTGCCGGTAACTGACTGTAACCTAGTCATGAAAGTTTTAGATTCTGTGTGAGTATTTTTTTTCCTCCATGTGACTGACGAATAAGGCAACTTAAAATATGAAATAGTCAAACCAATTAAGATAGCCTAACTGATTTATTATACACTGAAGAGCCAAAAAAACTGGTATACCTGCCTAATATCGTGTAGGGCCCCCGCGAGCACGCAGAAGTGCCGCAACACGACGTGGCATAGATTCGATCAATGTGGGAAGTAGTGCTGGAGATAGTTGACACCATGAATCCTGCAGGGCTATTCATAAACCAGTGGGAGTAAGAGGGGGTGAGGATATCTTCTGAACATCACGTTGCAAGGCATCCAAGATGTATTCAATAATGTTCATGTCTGGGGATTTTGGTGAAAAACGGAAGTGTCTAAATTCGGAAGAGTGCCGCTGGCCACCAACGATATTAGGCCCTACACGATATTAGGCAGGTATACCAATTTTTTTTGGCTCTTCAGTATATCTGTTAGATGCTCTGATCAGCTAAATAGTACAATATCAGTTACAGGGAAAATCACTGCTTTCTATGTATATTTTTCAAGATCAAAACTAGTCAAGAGTATAGTAGTTTAGATCATAATTTGCACCATGAAACAAAATAAAAAATAGAGCACACATAAGTAATTTTGTAAATAATTTCATTTCAAACCTTAAAAGTCATAACTTTATGGATTATTCGAAATATTCAAAATATTTTAAGATTTATAGAGATGATTTTTCCTCCAAAAATCTAATCGAGATTTAATTTTCAATTTATGCAAAAAATAATGTTGTTCAATCCCCAGTGGGGAGAAAAAATTCTTTCAAAATGCGGAAGTCATTAGGAACACCCTACTTTCAATATAATATCCACCTCAAATGTTTTTTTATTATTTTTAAATCCAACATAGAAATCATGATTTACCTCTGCAATTTCGATGAAAGTTTGCATTCCAAACAAAAATGTTTGACAGTATGCTATTCGTATGTAGTTGATCTCGATAAATCTATTGATATAGAACATCATTCTTGGATTTATTTTTCACCTGATATCATCTGCCAAGCAGTGCTACGATTGGGAGAAAAACACTTCTAGTTTGACATAAAATCAATTCCTGATATAATATATCTGAATGTTGTAAAAAACTTTCCAATCCAGATCTCTGCAAATTGGAGTGGAAAAAATGAGTTTACGTCATTTTTCATCCCTAGATCATTGGTTTTGTCACGTGTTATAAATAGTATGCGTTGGGAAGTTTCTGCATACTTTGAACGAGAAATCTCTTTTATAATATTTTTAGTAGGGACGAAAGAAGTTAGATTTTAAATTAAAAAAAGAAAAAAAAGTATAAATCCTCAAAAGTAAAGGATGCCCATGCCAGTTTTGATAAAATATGTTTAGCATATTTTCACAAAAATAAAGTAGCTAATATTTGGGTATATTTAAGATTTATTTTTAGATCTAAATTTGACGTTTCGATAATTGGAATTAGAAGTTCTTATAAAATAGCTTTAAAACGAATTTATTAAAAATGGAGCATTCTATTTTTAGATAAAACCCATTTTACTTATAAATGTTTTTTTGTTTACGTTATATCTAATAAAAGCTACATTATAATGCGTTATTTCAAAATCTTGCTTTATTATATAATGTTAGCTGTTATACTCTCATTATGCTACATAATTATAGTGCGTAATTGCATTCTATGATACAAAACTGATTATTTATTTACCACAATTTCATTTGCCTTTACAAGCATTGGCGTTATTTGTACTTGTCGTAAACTCTTATGTACTAAAATTTATTTCAAACTATTAACGTTTTAGTGCTTACTGCAATCTCATTTCAAAAATTTTTATTTAGGTTAAAATGCTTAATTTTTTGCTGTTTAAAATCTTTATGGTTTAAAAAATTAAAAAGAGATAACCGACAATTAAAACAATATAATAAGTTGCATTATAACTTGTATTGATTTAATTTGCTAAGTTGAGTTATTCTATTAAATAAGGCATAGTTACTGAGATGTCTATTGTACAGTTAATGTAACTTCACATATTTAAAAATACAGTCTTTTTTTCTACCCTTAACTGAGATTAAACATTATAAAAGATAATTTGATACTATAAAAAATTTTCGAATCTATTATGTGTAATTTACTATTTAATATACTAAGATAAAATGTTGTATAATATTATTTATTAGATGTTTTATTTTACTAATTACCGGTACTAAACAGTCAACAAAATTCTGAGTCTACGATTATCAATGTTTAAGTCCATGGCCTTGTCATTTTTATCCCAGTTCAGAAGCCAAGGCAACTCGCGAATCAAGAGATAGGATAAACTAGCATTCGTAGAGGACTTTTTTATGAAACTAACTAGCATATGCATTAGATGGACAGGTAAATCACGAAAACCTTCCATGACTATCCTGGCTACAAGAAAGATAATAATCCATTCACAAAAAGATCCGATCGACAGAAAGATAATAACCCATGATCCGTCTACCAATGAGGATATTTTACCACGAAGGGATGTTTTTTATTTTATAACCGATGTTGAACAGCCGACCCAATTTTGAGCTTACAACTATCAATATTTAACTCCGTGGCTTTGTAATGTTGAATACAATCCAAAAGGCAGGGGAACTACTGTATCAAGTATTAGGACAAACTAGCTTTGATATAACCAACCCGTATATGAGTTAAATGGGAGGAAAACCACGGAAACTTGCAGTGATAAACCCGACGACATAGGGATTATATCATGAACCTCTACCAAAGTACTACGTTAGCACAGCGGTCGGTACGAGCTGGGTGCAGAATTCGTATCAACTAGCCACGGCTGGGATTCGAACATGGGTCACGTTCATGTGAAGCATGATCTCCTGAACCATCGCTGCTCTACCCCTAAAGATCAAAAGCATTTAAATGAAAATGCGTGGCAATAAATCTACTTTACTTTCGCTTCAAATAAAATCCATATTTTTGCTTAAAATACGAACGCCGAATGTTGCAAAACACGAAAATAACGCGCATAAAAATAGGATTTTAAAATTAAAGCTTCTATTTTGTTTATAATTTCTTGAGTAGATTTAGCTCATTTTAAATTTAAAAAAAATTAAATTTACTTCAAGTATTTGCTGATTAAAGTAATAGGAAATTTAGATACAGTGTTTGATATTAAAGCAGATATTTTTTCTCAAAACTGATGAAGGAAGGAAAATAAATGTCATACAATTTCATTTTAAAAGTGTATACTGATGGCAGTTTTAAAACGCCATTTTCAAAATTAAATTCACAAAGAAAAAAAATCACTTTATAATAATTGGAAGAAAAAAAAAGTCAAACAGATCTGCCTATAAGATAATATTTTATTATAAAAAGCAATCTAAGATATCTAAAAGTTTGTACAATTATTATTTTATGGTTTTTTTTTTAAATCATTCCCTTGTTTTTGATATTTGAAATTTAATGGGTTTTATTTTATTATCTCAATACTTCCTAAAAATAAACGAATAAAAATATCTATCTCTTTTTCAGCAAACACAGTTGATTAATTAAAATTTATAGATAATAATATTCTTAAAACAGTTCTTTTTTTATTAAATTATTTTCTCTATATTTATATTTCTATATGAATAATATTGCTGAAAAAAACAAATCTATGATTAATGGAATTTTTACATTGATATAAATTATAAGGC